TTGGAGTTAATTTTTGTCCCATCCCATCTCAGAATGTCACACCACCTAACTTCAAAGAGCCAAACTACACGCAACACGTTTGCAATTGCATGTGAGAACAAGCACCTTGATTTCATGGGAGGAAAATGTCCCAGTTCAAAATTTTATTCCTCAGTTGAATGGGCCAGAACTCTCTCAGACAGATTGCCCTAGAAATGTATAACTTATGGTTCATAGAGCCAGTACATGTCCCATCCATTGTATAGTCATTCTTTGAGAGTAAAAAAGAAAATTAAATACTAAGTTGATTAAAAAACTGAGGCTAGGTCATACTTTGAGTCTTTAAAAATACTACATTAATGACTTGGAGCATGATGGAACCTGCAATTTCCAACTAATCACAAGCGGTTGCAAAAACATCCGTTTCTACTGTCCACTCACAACAGAATAGCTCTTTAGAATCCATGTGGGTCATCCCAAGATCTCCCTTTCCTTCAGAGAGAAATATCTGCAGTCTGGATCTCACATCCGGCTACCTTTTGGCCACACTGTCCTCTGAAAAACGCAGAGCATCCTTTCATCCACCTTACTGGAAGATCTCTGCACAAAGTCACTCTTTGGGCCTTGAAAGCCATTTTCTAGTTATCAATAACTTCATTATATCAGCTCACCCCCTAGGTGGCCACAGTAGATTCCTGGAGTTAGCCAGGAATCTCTAAAACCAGGTAAAGCTTCCTAATGCACTGTGGGATGTTTTGGATTGCAACTTCAACTAATCCTTGCGGAAAGCAATGGTTGGCAACATTGGGATGCTTTCATCTGCTTTTAGAAGATACTTAGAAGCCTTCTAAAATTTCTATGTATGCAAAGAAGTTTGCAGAGATGGTGTCAACCTTAGCTTTGTAGGCTCATGCATCCACTCATATTGTGTAGCTTAAATAAACCCTGTCCATTCTTTCATGGACAAATGAAAATATTCTCAGCAACTTCTCCAACAAGCTTTCCATCTTCATCCTTTGTATCCGCTAAGGTGAAGTCTACTCCATGAAATGTTGTGGTATAATAGTTTAAGTCTCTGAGCTGTTGCTTCTACTGGAACAAATGCATCCAAAATTGTGGGATAGAAGGGTGGCAATGCATTTCTTTTCCTCTTCTGCCCTCCAGTATTTCATGTGATCCTTGCATTTCTTGGCCTGGCCTTCCTTTTTCACTTTGAAAAATAACACTACCAGCATTCAAAAGAACCCAGCTTCCTGCCTCATGCTTAAAATCTAAAAAGACATAGCACCAAAGGAAAAAAAAAGGAGGGGAAAGGGGATAAATAAAGTGCCATCATTCATGGGAGTTGAACAGTGACATTCCTTAGAATCACAGAATCACAAGCTAAAAGAGGCTTTTTAAAGTTTGCCTGCCTCCCTCTCCCTCCCTGGTGTAGGAATCCACATACAAATATCTCAGATGGGTGGTCTAGCTTCTGCTTGAACCTATCCAGCTAGGAATAGGCTCCACTCATGAGGTTCAGAAGATTTTTCTAACACTTAAGCGGAATCTGCCAGCCTGGAACTTAAATTCTCTGCCCTGCCACTGGAACAACAGAAAATAGGTGGCCAGACCAAATAGTTTTCTTGGACAGCAAGTTGGGATGGAAACCATTCAAGGCAAGAAAGATAAGGAAATAGCTGATCCCTCAACTCAACCGGTTGAGGGGCTCGGCTTTCAGTTTAATTTCCCTTCCAGTTTAAGCTCTCCATCAATTTCATGAATTGGCTTCAGAAACCCTTTCAAAGGAGAAAACAGTTCAAAAATAGCCACGAGATGCCACTTGTCAAAATGAGGAAGGCAATGCCTCACCATCAATTTCCATCCCTTTCATACCTGTACATGTGATCTTGTGACACATGCACAAAAGGGGTGAAACTTGCATTGTGTCACTGCAATACTGCTGTCAGCCTTTGCTCCCTCTTTCCACGTCTGACAGAGCCTGCTGTTAAAAAACTCTGAAATGTCCTAGGATTCAGATGCACATGGCGTGGTGGTAAATGACTAGGATGAATTTCATTTTTTTCTAAATTATATGCCACTTACAATTATCTCAGGAAATGCTGGGAAAATAGATTGCACCTCTAAAGAAATATGAATAATGATCTAAATGTGTAAAGTCTCTTGTTTCCATTACTTATTTACTTTGATTTTTTGGTTGATTGATTGATTATGTGTAATCAAGTCATTCCAATAGAAGAGAATATCTCTAGCTCATAGTTAAACTGTGGAGTCCCTGGTGCTCCCTGAGCTTGGCCGTTTGCTTGCAGATGTTTCATTTCCCAACTAAGTAATGTCATCAGTGCTTCAATCAAGTGATTGTAGATGCTTATCAAGTTGACAGCTTTTCTCCATAACAATCTGTCTCTGCTAAAGGCAAACAAAACCTGTCCTCTGAGCTGTGTTTAAACAGGAGGAGCTCCAAGTCCAATACCAACCCCTTTCGGGGGAGTAACGTCACTACTGTTGAAGGAAAAGTCTTCATCATGGTTCAGTCCAAGCTGGGAATAAACAACATGGCGACTGCTTTAGAAAGAAGGTTGCAGTTTATTGAAGAGGAGAGCCAGACAGAAAGATGGCTCTGGAAGAAAAGAGAGAGAACACATGTGGGGAGTGGGTTTTTATACCCTCTGGAGCCTTTTGTTTGGAGTTGTTCCTGTGGCATGAACTTTGACCTGAGTCTGAGTGTGCCTTTCTGGTATTCTGATGGTGGTAGGTTAATCCTATTATGTCCCATAGGTCATATCCTGCTTCCCTGTGGCTGTGGCTGATGACTCTTAGATTTTTGGTGTGAGGGATTGTTGATTCTAGGGATCTTTCTTCCTAATCCCAGTTGCCTGACTCCAGTCTTTCTGACAAGATTATCACATCTGCATTTCTGCAGACTTGGTTTCTATTTGGGACAGAGAGACTTGGGGGGGGTCTGCCTTTAAAATCCTTTAGAGAAATATATTCTGCCTTTTAAATATTTCCAAGAATATTTCTTTCTCGGGGGGGGGGCTGACTTCCCACACTACTAGGACCTATGCTTCTGTTACAGCAACTCAGTCTGGAAGAGACTTAATCTTTGCTTAAGCCAGCATCTTGCTGTTGTTAGACAATATGCAGATCTTCAGATTATCACACATTAATTTTATCTAGTGTTCTTTCAGTCTTGATGACTCTGAGGATACATAGACCATATTCTTAGCAGCATAAGGACAAAATGAAAAATGGGTAAGAGGCTGAAGGGAGTAAGTTTCAGAAAAAGTAAATTATTCTTTCTCTTTCAACTAGAGAAAATTTCATGAAAACCTGGACTTGATCTAATAAAACTGCTGATTCACAGGGGTTACATTCCATTCGTGTAAAGTGGAAATACTTTGAAAAGGTTAACTATACTATTTAGGTAAATGAAGTTAAAATATACACAGATAATATAACACAAAACCCAAGAAATACTTCTTTGGGTCTAGGACAGTGGTGGCGAACCTATGGCACGGGTGCCAAAGGCGGCACACACACCGTCGCCCCAGTCCTAGGCCTTCAGCAGGGTTTTATAAAACCTTTTCGCTTTAGGCCTCCACCGCCATGTGCAAAAAAAAAAGGTTCAATTTCAACGTCTCCCGGGAAAAAAAAGATCTTACAAAGTTGTAATTGATTGATTGAACTTTTTAGTCCCATCCAGTCTGCCTTACCACTGTGGCCACGCCCACCCAATGGGCCAGACCCACCCAGCACTCTACTATGCATAAGTGGATTTGGGGTTGCAGTTTGGGCACTCAATCTCTAAAAGGTTTGCCATCACTGGTCTAGGACAGGGCTTTTCAACCAGTGGTACGGGTACCACCTGTGGTACATTGGCACCTGGCAGGTGGTACGCAACCATCCTAGAAAAGTGGTAGCGGGGAGGGGAATGAGCTGAACTGGTGGCAGCACCGCACAAGCCTGAGCGAGAGATGGCTGGAGCTGCAGGGCTGTCAGGGCTCAGCGGAAGCACCAGGATCAGCGTCAGGCTCCAGCTGGAGCTCAGCGCTGATCCTGGTGCTTCTGCTGAGCCCTGAAGAAGCACCAATCAGCTGGAATGTTGCAGCATCTCCAGGGTCTTGTGATTTACATTCAGATGCTTGGCAACTGATTCATATGTATGACGGTCACAGTGTCCCGGGGTTATGTGAAGTGACCAAAACCTGCTGCAACCACCCAGCAGACGGGGGGAATAAAAACCAAACACCCCACCACTCCATCCCCGCTGGCAATCCTCAACAGAAATGCTCACAACAATGAAAATCTCGGACAGGAGGAAGAGCGCGGCCGGGCGGGCAGGCAGGTGTCTTGCTCGGCTGTGGCTTGGGGGCCACTTTTTTCAGTGCCATTGTAACTTCAAACAGTCACTAAGCGAACTGTTGTAAGTCGAGGACTACCTGCACTTTATCACTTTTTCCTTTTTTTTTTTTGGGTCATCAAGTTTTTGACACCTTGCTAGGCGACTGGTGGTACTGGATATTGCCATATCCTAAAAGTGGTAGAATGGGTGAAAAGGTTGAAAAGCCCTGCTCTAGGATATATTCAGTAAACTCCAGAATACATAAGGAAGCTGTTCCCACCACAAACCATAATGGATCTCACAGGGGCAGCCTCAAAAATGCTTCAAGATCTAAGGCTGCGCTCCCCATTACTTTGAAAGGTAGCCAGCTGGAATCTGCCTGTCAGAATCAGAATAGCTAAAGGGTCCGTTATGGTAGCGAAGAGGGCCTTCACACACACACACACACACACACCCCACCCCGATTCAGCCAGCGGTTATTTCAATCGGGCGGTTCGGTGACCGGTTGAAGGCAAAACGTCGCCTTCCCCCTCGATTTGCACCAGGGAACCGCCTTGGCGAGGGACGCCCCGCGAGGCTGACGAGAAAAACCGTCGCTCGCGCGCCCTGTCACCTGACCCTTGCCTGAGGGAGAAGGCGTGCTAAGTCGGCTGCCATTTTGCTTCGTGGACGGACGATGAGCCGCAACTTTGCCGCCGCCTTTTCCTTTTGGGCTTTGCTTGTGCTGTTCAGGGAAGTCGCGCCCAAAGCCCTGTCCTCCCTGAATCTTACCGACGGTGAGCTTGGCCTCGCTCCCTCCTCGCAGGGCGTCGAGCTCGGCCCTTGATCGCCATCGTGCTGCTTCGGACGGGGTAGCCTAACAGATCGAGCTTGAGGGGAAAAGCCGTCAGCGGAGCGCGCGGGAATCCTTCGCCGAGGGAACGCGAGGGCCCGAAAAGGAGGCGTCCGCCGAGCTACCCTGCTGCCATTTATGCAACAGTGGTGGCTGTCGAAAGGCCCATCACGATTGCATAAATGGGGGCGCCGCAGGCGTTTGCTCTCGGGAGGAAAAGTAATTGGGGGCTACTACAATTTTGTCTGTGCAAAGTTGTGTTCTGACAGTACGAGGGTTTCGTTCCCTACGACCTTTGTCGATGTTACCGCAACTAAATTGTGGGCGTGTGATTCTCTCCCTCTTCTTTACTTTTGAAATGAGCGAAGGAAATACAGTTTACCCCGGGCGTGGCTGCTGCCGTTTTCTGGACTCCCCGTAACCCCTGAATTTCTGTGCTGGGATCTGTTCGAAAATAAATAGTTATATTTTACCTGTTCCCAGCTCTTGGGGAAATGTCTATAATTACCACCGCAATTGGAATGGGAAGCACAGAAGTTAGGATATAAAGGAATTAAAGTTTCGGGACCAATGGGTAGTAACAGAAGAAAGAAAGCTGAGGCCAAGCTTATTTGTAATTT